CAATCCAGCGCGCCCTACAAAGCCGTTTCTAAAAGCGCTAATTAATAAAAAGCTCACAAAAGCCAAGAAGCAGATGTCTCATCTTTCAGGTTGCACAGTAAAATCCTCAGTTGGGGTCACTTGGCACAAGCCCACCCCTTGGGAGCGCCCGGATGCGTGCCAACAAGGGACGCGGCCGCCAGCAAGCTGGGAGGGAGCCGAGAGCTGACAAAGGAGGCTGAAGGGCTCGCGTTGATTTTTATCTCATGTTTACTGAGATATTCTGGGAACCTTATTTTCAGTTGGTTTTCCAAACCCCAACAGTCTCCCTCCATCCCACCACGCGCAGGCAGCATGAACATCAGGACATGTGAGTGCACGGTCACCTCCCGCAGCCCGGCAATCTCAGCCGCTCCCCTTGACGATGGGCACAGAGTCCCTCCACGTCCCCGCCGTGCCTCTGGCACGACAATCTCCCCACGGAGTTGGGAGCAAACTGCTTCCCCTTCCCTGGCAGCGCAGATGACCAGCAAGCATCGCAGCTATAGCGATTTTCTAAAGCCGCTAAAGAGCCCCTGTGCCCAAACCCGGGATGCTCACGGTGCTCCCCTGACAAGACGCTGTCAGAAAATCAGCCCCTTCCAAAGGGTTTCAAGGAATGACCGAACCCTCGAGCTGCTCTCTGAAGGAAAAATTACTTTGGAAACCAACCCAAGTCACTGCAAGCAATAAACCTGGTGCTGAAAGCATGAAGCAGAAGAAACAGCCGTGCAGGAATTCGACCTGTCTGGCAAAGCAGCGTCCAGATGCAGAACATCTGGCTGCATGGCAAGGTGTCTGCGCCTTCGTCTCCGGGCTGAGGGGCAGGCAGAGGAGATCATGGGACCTTTAAATAGCTGTGGGATTTTATACTGTTGATTTTCTTTAAAATATTTTCTTTTTTCCTCTCTTCTTTAAAAAAAAAACAAACATCAGAAGATCTTATGGAAACCCTGGAAATCTTGTGGCACCATCAGCAAGTCCTTATTAAAAGTGATTTCTTCAACATGTTCTTTGAAGCAACGCGTGACAACTAACGACGTGCGACTTGCACGAGCCATCAAAGTTCCTTATAGGCGGGATGGATAATGTTTTAATTAAGGCAGTAACAGAAGTTTCAAAACGAACCTTTGAATCACAACACCGCGAGTACACTCTGCAAGCCCAGAGGGTACTGATGGTTTCCCTGCCTCGATGCACCAGCCCAGGCAGCTTTCCACCTCCCTCCATCTCCTCTCTCCGTGACGGGGAGAAGCTCCCGATGCCCATGGCAGCTCCTTATCAACCCGACACTCAGCAACTCCCCGAACGTATTTTTATGGGGAACGCGTTACTGTCAAAGTGACCTTCACCAAGCCTCGCGCTGCCGTGCAGAGGCTCGCTGTTTAGCTAAAGAGACAATAATCATCATTAATGCCTGTTTAATAGAAGCTGGCGGTAATCAGTCATCCTGTTGGTGTGGAGATTACCCGGCTCTGGAGGGAGTACATGATCTTTTTGACCAAGCATTTTCTAAGATTTTTTGTTTTTCCCTGTTGATGGGAGGCGACTGAAAAGAGAAAAAAAAAAACCCCAAAACCATATTGTTAATTTCTGACAGTCCTCTTGGTGTTGGAAACACAATCACCCCGGGGCACCCGCTGTCACCTGCGGTATTTCTCCCCACTCAACCAGGAGGCTCTTGCCAGTTGGCGTGCTGGGAGGGGAGCACCAGCCCCATGGGTATCCCTGTCCAGCAGCTCAGGGATGGAAACAGCTGATGCCACTGAACCAGCAGTAAAGGAAGAATTACACCCAATGCCAGAATTATGACCAATGCCAGAACTATGCCCAATGCCAGGTCAAAACCACCAGCCCAGGGATGCCCAGTCTCCTCCTGCCACCACCGTCGACCATGGCGAAGCTGGCCACCCTGGGCTGGGGACCCGGCCAGCTTGTCTGCACATAACAAGGTAAAGAGCATTGCCAAACTCATCCCAATGGATGGGCCACGTGGTCTCTACACCCTCACGCAGATGCACCCTGGTCAAGCATTTTTATGCAATTATATATTTATGGTCAGTCATATACGAGTAATGCCCACACTCCCAAGAGGCCCGTAAAGCCTGGCGCTCTCCTGGCAGCAGGACAACGAGACCTACAGCTCAGAGCAGGGACCCAACCAGTGCCAAAATGCCATCCCCATCCTGTTCTGCATTGCCCCTTCCTTCCCGCTTGGGCCCAGCCTTTTGGAGGCAGCGAGAGGATTTGGTTACCCCCGGTAACGGAAATATCGCCTCCAAGTCCTTTAAGTGGTTTCAGAAAACCTCAGCGACTGTCCTTCCCTTGGGGAAGGGCTGCCATCTCCCCTTTCTGTCTGTGCAGCCCGCGGCAGGCGCTGGCGAGGCGAGCGCCGA